ACTTTATGTAATTGTCTAACAGAACACGTGATTAGAACAAGGGTATTAGTTTACTCTTACCTCCTACTGAGTCACCAGCTTAATTCCCTTAAAGCTCAGGTCTTTGTGGAAAGTGTATTCAAATAGATCAGTGCTTGTGAAAGGTGAAGAGAGCTTAGCCTAAGGGTTCTGTTGTAGAACCGGATGCAGGCGGCCTTACATACCCTCTCACAGGTAGTATGTTGAATTATATCTACTTGTGTTAACATGATTATGCAACAGCACCTTGTACATACGATGTTTGGCAGTTATGACTAGTTTCTTTTGAGCTGTTTGAATTTTTAATTGGTGGCCAATTATTGTTGTGATTTCCCAGTGCCACCTAAGGGAATCAGTGTGACTCATACACCTGGTAGAATTTTGTGGCCCTACAGTTACCCTCATCCTTTTTCTGTAGAAACTGTTAATCATTGTCTTCTGGCTTTTTGACCTCCAGGTGGACATTCGCAGCACCAGGGAATCAGATTTTTAAGGCTTCATTTTTCTGATGGTGATACTTGCTTCTTTTGTTCCATGTGTTGTGGTGGGATTGGGCCTCATCACAGAAACCCTAACCTGTGCTTTATGAGGGTAGATCAGGGACCGCTCTCCACCTCAGAGGCCTTCTAGGAAACATCCTGCCCGGTGATTGAAATGGGAAAAGCATTATGGTCACATCCCCCAGCCAGCCCTCTGTCTTAGAGGGATCTAAACCTATACCCTCCACAATAGTTTGTTTTTTATGTAGTGTTCTTTTCTTTATTTGGAAAGTAATTCACATCTATTGTAGAATATGGACAGAAGTAATGAACGAAAGTATCTTGTAATTTCACCATTCAAGGAACCATAAGACAGGTATGCTTTGAATCGGCATTGGTAATATTTCACATCCAGTTATGTACATTGTCATGTACCTCCATGATACTCATTCCATTCCTTTTATATTTATTTCTTGAATGAGAGCCCCATTTAAAAACAACTTTCATACACCTAAAGACAGTTAAATAAAGAGTAAGTCTATATTAACTCAGTTAAGTCTGGCTTGGTTCAGAGAAGAATGACTGTATGGGGATTTTAACTGTGATGCTTTGCAAAAAAGTTCTCCTTGAGAAGGTGTGACTGTCTTCACTCCAACATGTTGTGCTGTGCAGGTGTCT